GCGCCTGTTACCATGGATGATCAGTTCCCATTGGGAGCAGATCCGCCATGGTTGCGGGCCGGTGTACCCCAGGCATAGGGACATAGGGAAGGATGGATTCAGTATTAACTGATCGATCGGTCCCTATGGCCAAGAGTCCGACACTGGGGCTCGGCGGGCGTCCTGGACGTATTCCAGGTAGCGGCCGTCGAGGGGGGGGGGGAGTCCTTAGGGACAGGGGAGGGGGGTTTTTGGGTTGGGGCTTCTGTGCCCTCCAACGTTTTGCGCATAGGGGGGAGGTAAGGTCCACCTAGGACCAAGCAAAGGGAGCCCATTTGGGCTATGAGGTTGTTCCGCGTCGGTGTCCTGGCCGTAAGCCGGGTAGCGGCGACGTGGATTGGGGGCTCGGCCGGCGTCCGGGACGTACTCCCGGTAGCGGCGGTCAAGGACGTCGTGACTCGTGGAGTTTAGGGGGTGGTAGGCCTCTTGAAGGCCACGACTTGGGGCGTCGTTGTTGGTAGTGGACGGACGGTCAGTGCGTCGGATGGGCGTGTGCGGTCTAACCTGCGTCTGTACGACGTACCGACGTAAAAACGGTTCTACTCCCCCAGGTCGATGGCATGTTAAGGTCAGTTCCCCTCGATATAAAAAAAAGGTTTAGAATTATCTGTAGGTATAACAAATTTCATCGTGTTAAAAGAAACAAATATACGTCCATAATATATGAAATCGCAAATTTTCGCATTTATAATATTAGTGTGAATATGATAGAAAGAAATAAAGTCAAAAACTCAGGAAGATTCGATTACTGGTCGAGTCAAAGTAGAAAATTGACTTTTCTGTATTGTCTCAGGTCTGGGTGTTGTGTTACCTTCGTTGTCTCAGATATTCCATAATACGGGAGTTTAAGCTTCTCATATTGGAATCTGAGCAATATAATGTTGTCTTAATTCTGCAATTCATAAGACAGTTAAAACAGTGAAACAGAGAAAAGTAACGTAACAAAAGTTGCCAGATCCAATAACGAAAATAGTTGGAAGAAATGACCACAAATTACTATAAGAACAGTACAAAGTTCGGTTTGAACAAAGAAGAGGTCGGACGTAGCTACAAAGTGCGTAAACAAGGGGTCTCATTGGTTTTATTTGAAAAGTTGGGTGGATCGCGGTTTATTGCCTACCCACTTCCGAAATAACATCAAAATCAAATTTTAAGTTGTAGGAAATTCGTAAGAATATGGCGCGTACACATGAAATTATAATTTTAGAGATTTATATATCTTCGTAACAGTAAAAGTATCCTACAGCAGTTACGGGAAGTGTATAAATAATTTATTTAAAATAACAAAAATCGAAATGAATATGTAGCCAGGAAGCCTAATAATGTACACTGAAGAAAACGCCAATTTTATATTTCTACCGTTCACCAACTATTGTAGTTATTTTTATATTAGGTATAAGTCATTTGACAACTTTTTCGTCAAAGTTATGTTAACAATATTTCACATCACTTTATGTATTTACATCGCTTGTTTAATCTGTCATGTACACAAAAGGCGCAACATCATGTAGTCATAGAAAAAAAAACAATTCTAAAAAAATAAAAAATGATACCTACACATGTTTTCATCGAGTTGAATGTAATGTATTTAATTTAAAATGAATCGTATTAAAAAGCTATTTAGGAACATTTTTGAAATATTTTTAAACGAAATGCCTGTTTTGTCATTTTAACAAATCCACAAACTTTCAAAACATAATGTACAATTTTCTGTTCATGAATATTTCATTCTGGTATATTACAAAGATTTACAACAACCTCTTAGCAACAAGAAAGAATATTTAGAAATAAGAACCTATCTTGTAAACAAACAAAGCTCTGATTCAAAAAACAAAAGGTCGTCATCAATACACACTCGCAGCCACTGAATGGGGCGCACAAACGGGATGACGACGCTGTAGAGACTCTGATAGATTTATCCGATGGCTGGCGACAGATAAGATTGTGCCGTCATTATTGGCGAATGATTAATCTTCGTCATTGTTTCCCCGCACAGATCTGCTGCGAACTGATACAACTGCTTTTGTGAGTCCCAATTTATACTAAGTTTGCTTTAGGGCGTTATCGAGACAATATTGAACGTTCAGCATGGCCGACACAATGCCAGTAAATTCGTCGTTCGTAATTTTACTGACACAATCAATTGATTGTTATGAATTTCTATGTCTTCTGAAATCTCGACATGAAATGTTTTGTCAGCAACACTGCCCTTGAATATTGGAACACATTAATCAACTTCAAAAATGTAGCAGGTATATTTATTTGATGTAAAGACTGTTATACACTGTTATACATAATATTAAATAAGCAAATGGATTACATTCACTTTGCCTCTGAAATTATTATGAAAAATTGTTGCTACATCTTTTATTACCTATAAAGGTATATTACCGCTCACAAAATGGGCAGGTGGTGACTATAGGTATCTATTATTGGTTTAACTTTTCCATCATAGATAAAAGCCTTCACTATCGATATTAAACTTATAAGTGTACCTTGCTTGCAACAAAGCGTGCTATAAAATGCGAATACCCACCAGCATCGAATAGGAGCAGTCGTATATCTCTTTTGTACGCGAGATTAAAGAGGCGATGGCGTGGACCGAGGCCATACATCTCCGTTAATGCTGTTTCGACGCCAGCGTCCTTAACGCTGCCAACGTTGAAAACTGTACGAATTATCTTTAAGCCGGACAAGCGTAAACTCTCACTAACACTGTAATTGAACTTTTATTTTTATTCTTTAAGTAGTTGTTTTGGTAAGTATAAAAAGAGAAATAGAGACTGTAAAAATAAAACAAACAAAATCCGAAAGGTCGCGGCTCTCGATCCTGCATCTCTGGTATATCTGGTAAACATCGCTGTCAGCGATAAGACCACCAATTGTTGCACTATTGCTAATATCAATATATAATGTAGTGCTTACAAATAACGTAATAATTACAACTCAATTTTGGAAAAATTATAAGCCAGCCTTTTATTTCCATACTAATATTATAAATACGAAAGTAACTCTGTCTGTCTGTTACTTAATCACGCCTAAACTACTGAACCGATTTGCATGAAATTTGGTATGGAGATATTTTAATACCCAAGAAAGAACATAGGCTACTTTTTACCGTGGGAAAATGACGCATTCCCACGGGAAAATAATCTAAATATATATAACTCAAAGGTGACTGACTGACATAGTGATCTATCAACGCACAGCCCAAACCACTGAACAGATCGGGCTGAAATTTTGTATAAATAAGGCATAGGCATAAGGCGTAGGCATTCTCTAAAAAAGGATTTTAATTGATTCCACCCCCAAGGGGATAAAATAAGGGATGAAAGTTTGTATGAAACTTTGTCAATTTTAAGGGCTAAGACTTTGCATGCATAAAGCTACTATGACGTAAGCATCCCCTAAGAAAAGATATTGATAAATTCCACCCCTAAGGGCATATGCTAAGAGGATAAGACTTTTTTTCAGGTATTTTACACGATATAATGAATAAATATTCGTTAGAAATGCTGCTCAAAGTAACTTTACCACGCGGACGAAGTCGCGGGAAAAAGCTAGTATTTAATAAATTTGTTGACATCAACAAATGTAGAAAAATAGAAGATCTTTTGAAATAAAATTACACAATGTTGCATTTTTTATAAAAGCGTTTTACGTACATTTCACCCCAAAGTCCTCCAGTACCATAATCCTCAGTCACAGTTAAGTGAAGATATAAAATAAACGATTGCATTTTTAAGTTCTGTACACGAACTATAAAGTTGAGCAGTAAAACGACTTGAAAGACTTTTATTGTGGTCATTTAAAAAAAACTCAAAGCAGATAAATGTTATATATCTTATCTATAAAAATAAAGTTTCTCGGCTTAAGTTACTACTTAAAAATTAATGCAGGTAATAATTCCTGCAACGAAATGGCGCCGTGGTAGCGTTCCTACTATTGCGCCGAGGGTCTTGGGTTCGATCCCCACCCAGGACAAACATTTATGTGATTAACAATTATGTCTGTTCTGTGTCCGGATGTTTTCTATTTTATATTATGTATATTTTTGTATTCCCCTCGTTGTTTCTGATATCCGTAACTAAAGTGCCTAAGCTACTTACCTCGGAATCGGATCAATGTGTGTGATGTTGTCCGATATTTATTTATTATGCGAATAGAAGATTCTGAATCCCATTAAACTCTCGATTACTTTGTATTTATTTATCGGTAGTATAAATATAGTAGATAGCGCAATAGCTAGCGCACTCCGTGTGCGATATGGTTGTTAACCAACTTTCGTAATGGGTGACCAAAAATGTATTATCTCGAACCTCTCCGTGGTTCGGAAGGCACGTTATGCCATTCGCCCCGGTTGTATCCGCACTCGGTAATACTCACCAATCCGCATTTGGTCCGCGTGATGGGCCATGGCCAATTTACCCTATTCGATTCGATTCCTTCCATGGACAAGGCCCGAACCCCAACAATGGAACATTAATAAGCAGGCAATGATGAGTACAAATATATCTTAAAACTAGACTATCAATAATATATAATTAATATAGTGAAATTCCGTTATTACCTACAGAATAGAATATATATAACCCCAAAAACCCCGATTTTCATAAAATGGACATTAAGTAGTTTAAGCATGAAAACGTAATAGACACACAGAGAGACATAGCTACTTGCGTATTTACATAAAAATATTAATATCTCTATGGTATGAATTATTACTGCTTAACGTAGGAGAAATCAATACCAACACTTGTTCTCAATCTCCTGATAAAGGTTTATGAACAAAAAAAAAGATAAAATAAAAAAATACAACAGAATCTTCATTTATTTTGTTACACACATACACATCAGTCGTATGAAGAGTCACTGTATCAAATCATCACATTTTTGTATACATAACAATGTTTATAAATTATCAACAAATGCACATTACATTAAGAACTTTCACTTTTTAATCACCAGCTCTCGACGTAATATGTAGGGTAGCTATAGGTGGGGTAGCTGAAAATAAAAAAAAAACTCATAAAACCTCTTAATTAAATAAGTTCGATAGAAACAATGGTTTCATGTCTCATACATATTTGTTGTGGATTCCAATAAAATTGTTATAACTTGTTCTTGAATAAGAAATTAATCTCTAATATGTAATATTCAAAGGGTATCAAAGTCAAAGCGCAAAAAATGCGCAAGTTTGTAGGTTTGGATATTTGTTACTCTTTCACGTAAAAACTCCTGATCTGATTTTAATTAAATTTGGTATACTGATAATTCTAAGCCTGAATTAACATATAGTAGCTACTTTCTATCCCACACTATCGGTTCCCAAAGGATAGATGCACTGTCAAGTCAACGTGTACACTACGTCGACGAAGCCGCTGGCAGAAAGCTAGTAAAGAATAATTAAGAAAGTAATTTATAAAATTCTAAATTATTCACTATTCCATATTTGGTTATTTTTCTCTACTTGATGAGGTTATAAAATGAAAAGACATATTGTTAACAGCTGTGAAGAACTTCAAAACATAAAAACACGATGAAATACAGATGCTAGCTCTAAATTCTAGTCATACCATAGTATAGTTTTAAACCACAAAATATAATTGTTTTTTTTAAGCATTTTTCATTAAAAATATTTATCAATACAATAAATAATTGATCAAATATAGATAATAATTAAAATATTCCGTTATATTTTCACCTGTAGTAATTGCGGTATGATCCATGGCCATATCCACCGTATCCGCCGCCGTATCCGCCGCCGTATCCGCCGCCGTATCCGCCGCCGTATCCGCCGCCGTATCCACCGCCGTATCCTCCACCGTAACTTCTACCACTGAAAGCCCTCGCTGCAAGTACACCTCCGATTGCACCAGCACCAAATGCCTTGGCGCCCAACACACCTACACCAAGAGCACCTAAACCAAGTGCACCAACTCCCAACGCACCAGCTCCCAACAGACCAGCTCCTGTACAAATAACATGATTATTTGATTAAAATGCCGAAAACATCTACTAACATAGTTTAAAACAAAGTCGTCGATACCTTTTAAACTACAAAGATTTCAATGCGGTTCATCAAAATTATTCAAGAGGAAGTTTTGTATATATAATAAAGGACCACGCGAGCAAAGCCACTGTCGAAAAGCTAGTATTATTATGGAATACATCACAGACATAAATAGAAATAAAACATTACGTTGAATAAATACTTAATTAGAATATATACATCAGAAAGAGATGTTAAATAAATGAGACCTAGGTTTAGAAATGAAAATATAAGGTTTTCTCAACACCAACACAAGTAATATGAATGGCAGCAATTTATTTTTAAACGTAACAAAAGCTTGTTATAAATCTTTATTCTACTAAATCTTCAAACACTGTTGAAGTTCTCCCATTTAATTGGAGAACATAAAACTTGGCGTTGAATTAATTAACATTAGTCTTCATTATGAACCAACTTTTATGTATACCTCATTTAACCAGTTCAGTGACTCCATATAATTTATTGGCATATATAGGTAATATAGTTGGTCTGCTATTAAAAAATTTTATCCAGGTCATATGTAAAATAATAATGTACAAAGTTAAATCCTCCAGTATAAATATATTTCTGTTTTAAATTATGCACTATCATCACTCATCAGTCTCGGTGAAAAAACAAATTACAAATTGTCCCAATCCTTGCAATTACCATTTATAACATGAATATGTCACAATAAGTAGTTCGTACGAGCCAAACACATGTAACTGACAAATTCCCAACGGTTATATAACTCATCCATAATTTGCTTGGAATCCCAGAGGAACTAGAAAGTTGTCAATCTTAAAGGACGCCAACGCCATATCATATTAATCAAAGTCTGAGGAGACTGGATATTACTGACTACATACTATGTGTACTATACATATGTGAGAGTTATATTTATCTAAAATGTTGGCGTGTATTTATTTATGGTTGGTCAAAAAGCCTAATTTCAAAATATTTTCCTTAAAAAAAGGATTATATTCTTTATTGAACAGAATTAATATCAATTCTATTTTCGAATAGAAATTCGTGTATAATATAAGTTATGACATTTCGTGGTAAGACTGCGATGCAAACGTCACGTGACATCATCGTCCTATTTGGAACACACAGAAACTATTCATAAAAAGGAAACCTCCTTTAATCCTTAAAAAATATTCCGTTACAAACTTTTTGGATATGCGAAAACGAAACTCAAGGGAAAGCAGAGGTCTCAAAAAATCCCTCAAATCTCTTTAAAAACTGACTGCTTACTTAAATTACTTATTATTAAGGTTTTATAAAAGAGACCAGGGCTTACTACAAAAATAACACACAATAATTGTTTGTTTAGTAACATTTAACTATTGTCACGTTCGATTTTCATAGTAAGTCCTGGATCCCTGACATCTGAACTAATCTGCCCCACCTTCAGTCTTTCCAATTCACGTTCAGTCCAGTAGGCATGCAGATTTTACACTTTATTACATTTCAATTAACAACTTCAAACTCTCTCGCATTCAAAATGTTTAGTTCAAGAGTACTAACATACGTTATTTAAGTTACGTGGATGCGTACCTAGCAGCAAATGCCTCTTGGGCCTCTCATGTCCTGGCTGAACTGCAACGAGCTCCGTTACGTCGTCCTTTGGCTGTAGAGCGGTCAACAGGGGACCATGCTCAGCCGCTAGGGACACGGCACACGCCACCAGCACACCAAATACAATGATGCTTACTTTCATTGCTGCAATAAAAAAGCAACTTATTAGTAAGGCCACCGCTCACATGTGCCACAAGAACTTTGAATATTGTTAATTCTAAGATAGGTTTTTTATGTTCGTGGAGTAAAATCACAAGGGTGACATTTCCTCCGTTATTTCCTTACCACGCAAAATATTACATATGTTATGTGGGGAGCAAATAATAGCAAACTTGTTAAAATAGTTTTCTTAGGCTCTCAAATTAAGTTAAACCTGTATGATAGTATAAGTTTTAGAGATAAATAAAAGAAACAATAATTAACGACCTCTATAGCCGAGTTCAAGTGCCGGTTTCAAGGTGTCGCCATCTTTGAGATTATGAATTTCGATTCCCGATCGGGTCTATATAGAAAATGAAATTTTCCATATTGTCTCAGTTCTGGGTGTTGAGATTACTTCGTTGTCTCAGATGTCTACTATAAGAAGGCTTTGGCTACTCGTCTTGATATCTGAGTAATGTATGCGATCTTGTCTAATATTAATTTAATTATTTAAATAAACGAAAACGTTCCTTTATTCCATTATACACTTTTCTTTCTTAAATATTTTAGATAAAGTTTTCAATTTACAGTAGCTATAATTTTAAAGTATATCTATGAGAGAGATATCAGTATGTAGAGTCAACAGCACGTTCAGTTATAAAATCTGTAAAATTTTCTCACCTTGTTTTAAACCTTATAGTTTAAAATTAACTTGAGAAATTAGACATTGACGTGCAGCCGTATGCACTTGTTATTTACAGGCATCTCATGTATTCGGCCTAATAAGCTACTAATTGATAATAATTCACGATCAAAAGTCCCGAGAATTTTAAAGTATGTAATTTAACTATTATGTGTTTTTAAACTTGTTAGCACTTCAAGCGAAAATATTTAAGATACTTTTTTTTTAACAAAACCCGCCTGAATCATAGTCAGGGTTGCAAAACTTGCAGATATATTGGGACAGTCACCGTTATTAAGTTCTATGTCCCGTACAAACCAAAACTAAAGACGAAAATGTCCCGTTTGATACAGCACAATGTTTCCAGCGACAATGAAGTCAATTTTGCGGTGTCGAGTAAACTATAATTACACTCGCACAGAATACTACCGCTCGATTTAAGAGCGTCCATAATTTCTAAAAAAAGCGAAGGGCCCTCTTAAACGCGTGTCCAAAGTATTGATTAGAAATATAAATACTAGATTCCTATTCTCAAAATTGTCTAGGTATTCTCCCCATAAACCTTCGTCTCCCTAGAATGCCCGCCGAGACCCCATCTGAATATGGCAACCCTACATAACAAATCTGGTGTATAAAATATAGATATATAACGCTTCCTTAAAAAAATATACGAAAATTAGTTAACATGGTGATATGTAAACTCATCCTGTATCGTCTTTGTGTGAAATGTCGAGGGGTCGGGTAGAGTAAATTATAAATACAAGAATAATAATAATAAAATAATGACGTCTTTATTTGCAATAAATAGGTTATATGTACAATGATGATATTTAAGTTTGAGTGAGAGCTTTGACTTATTTAGCCATCTTGAATAGCATGCACAAAAAATAGGTAATAAACTTAATTAACTTCATAAAAAGATATTTCAAAAAGCTGGAGTTTGAATCTCCGACAATCTTCCCATATCAATTTACTCAGGAAAAATTCATTAGCTGTAATGTATAATATATTGATATTTTGTTTGTTATATAATGCTAGAAAAATAGCTAAAGGTTGACGTTTTTGTTTGTAAAAAAATTGGATATCCAGACGTAACGTACAGTAAACAGCACATCACGACATACAACACTGTCAAACTTAATTGTAAACCTTAATGCTTTGTAAGTAAAGTTCAAAATCAATTGAGGGAAGGCGTATTTGTATAGCCCGACATGCAGCCGTGTGTATACAAGCTGTACGTAATTAAATGTACCTACTCGTAATTAAGTACTTCTAAGAATTATCTAATTTTTAATTCAAATAATTCAGCAGTTAATCAACAAATAGTTAGCGGTGCGAATCAGGTTGGAAATAAAATAGAACATGATTTTATATAATATCGTCATATTCAAGTTAAGACTTCAGAACCGGCTGCTAAACACGAATATACTTAATTCTCCATAGCAACTCAACGTTAAAATTCCAAAAGACACACTAAGTAAACAATTGCTATTTTTAAATGTGCTTTTAAACCCCCATAATCCTTACGATATATGGCACATCACGAGGCCTCTTTCAGTTTGCTAATACATTTACCCTCAAATCCCAACCCACACAAGAAAATCTTTTAAGAACTCTGTAGACTTCAAACACACATTTTTACTAAAATATTTTTTTTTGTTTATTTAAGAGGAAATATTCAAATCAGTGGAACATACCTGATAATTATAATATGGACCTAACGCACCTTGGCCACTGTTTCTAACCAACTGTCGGCGGAGGTCCTGCCGTTGACTTTTATAGGTCGGCTATCCGGACACATATGGCACCTCATAATATGCCATCGTACCGAAGAAACACAACCGCCCCACCTCACAATAGGTACTTGTACTATATTCCGAGCGCTAATTTGTTTGCAAATAATAGATCAGCCAAACCAAGAAAACCGATGTACCGGGCAGTTGCTATCATCACTTTTCTAAGAATTTCGTTGATGCGTGTAATATAAATAAATTCTTAAAACACATATATATATTGAATAGCAAACGCTCTTGTATTATGGAATCCTGAAACAAGGAAGTTCCAACAACACACATCCAGAGAGAAAATGAAAAATCTACATTAAAAGGACCACGAATAAAACCTGGAATCTCAGAGATGGCAATAACTTGAAACCTGTATGCAAATCACTTTATCACAGTCGTTGTTTCATTAATCATAATCACAGAATAAGAGAAAAAATATATTATATTATACATTCATAGTATAAAACAAAGTCGCTTCCTACTGTCTGTATGCTAAGATATTTTAAATTACACAACGAATTTCAATGCGGTATTCAACAATATACAGATTGATTAAAGTGAAAAGAACCAAGCAGACGAAGCTGCTGCCGGAAAGCTAGTTCGCAAGTTCTTCTTTAGACACAGTCTTAAATATCTACGCAAAAGATTGCCTCAAGAAGCAGTGAATTTTTACAGATTTTGAATGATCTTGAAGATGTTTTTCGAATAGATTATTAAATATACGGTTGCACGTCAGGTTATCACATAATATCAAATTTCCGCAATGGGATATGATATCTACCTTCAAAGTGTTAAGGTTTAAAATCGAGTGAGGAAATTTGTCAATTTTTGTTTATTTAACCTAACGTGTAACTATATGCGGAAGCGAATTTTTTCTTCTTGAAATCAATTGTGCTACAATCGGTACAATGACTAAATTCATGTATTCAGCGTCTTGTTTTGTATGCAAGAAGCTCTCATTTAATTGCTGAAATTGTTTAAATTACAGAATATTTATTCATTTTCACTATAAACATACATTACATATGACTGATGCATTACACCAATCAATCTATATCTCAGGTATTCAATATTCGTCAGATGTTATTAGAACCATGAAAATATTGATGGGCATAGTTAGAGAACTTGTAACTCAAGTTAGGGAGAATTCCGCAGTAGATCAAAAGCAAGTCATATATTTTACCTCGAATATTAGGTATGGTTGAGGAAATCCCATTGGACATACATAAGAATACATATGAACTCAATGAATGAAACCAAAACTCGGATATTCTCTTAGCAATCAAAGACTTACCTCTGATCCATATTAATGTCATAATAATAATATTCTTTAAAACTTGGACGGATTAGAAAGACAACAATGTTAAGGACAGTTAAATGACAGATTTGTTTTTTTTAATTTTATTAAAATCATTTCCGTAAAGATTATGTGTGCATACTATCTCCGTTGCATAATATTTTATTGAAAAATGCTATGCATCGGAGATAGTAATTTCGTTTTCAAATAAATAAAATAAGCTTTCAGAGCCATATTATTTCGTACGAGTACAGTTTACTTATTAGAATAGTACAAGCAGGTCTAACACGTAACTTAAGCCCGCATTAATATGTCACAATTATGCATGGAATAATCTGTCACACTGATAGAAATATCTTTATTATTCAGTTACATTTTAAGTTACGCAGTAGAAGCAGCAGGAGTGTCTTAACCTTTTCTGACTTCACATCTTTCAGTGTCGTTGATGTATCTGAGTTACGTTATTCGCTAGACCAAACTAGCTTATTTCCTTTTTACCGTTTGATTCAGTTGCATATTCCCCGAAATATTATTCCGAATAAAAGTTGTCAAAAAAAAACAAGAATGGATAATATACAAACAGAAAACTTCGTGACAAGTCTTAAATAAAATAGAAAATTGGTGTTTATAAAAACACTATCGACAATTGGACAAGAATTTTCTAAAAGGAATCCCATAAGCTTAGCTTCTATTTGATCCCTGATTACGAAAAAACAGCGAATAACGAGACGGGCTCACGCACCTAGCGTTGCGGACAAATTATTTTTTTTTTAAAGTGACTTCCACCTGCTTTTTAAATAATATGCAAGTACGAACTTTTTCTGCATGCCTTTTTCAAAATTTTAAACCTTGTAACAGTTGGGATATGAGGATGGGAAATGGTAAATTTTCGCCTGTTTTTTGAAATAACTCCAATTATTATCTTTTTCAAAATTTTTATTCTTTAGTTCTCGGCCTCATAGTCATGATATGTTGTTATTATATTAAATTATAAACGCTCTTCGGGTGAATATTAAAAACGTGGGTTTTCCAAAAAGACATAATTAATTGTCACCGGCGTACCAATAAGGTCATTGAACTGTCACGAGATCATTATAACTCACCTCTACGTTAAGACCAAGTGAGTATCCACGTATTTGATAGCCGCTACGCAAATCTGACTTACCTTCGATATTATCTGATAATTTTTACTCCTAAAATGTATGTTATCTATCTATCTATCTATAAAAACGTACAAA